CCAGGATCCAGGATGAGGAACTGGGTGGGGAAAGGAATGGCAGCTTCTATTGTTTTCTCCTGCACCGTCATTCAAGGAGCTCTTTGTACTGTGTGGCTCCTTACTGCTCCTCCATTCCCACATTTGGACATGGACACTATGGCTAAAGAAATTGTGGTTGAATGTAATGAAGGGTCTGTCCCTATGTTTTATTCTGTTCTCGGGTACCTGGGGTTTCTGGCTCTTGTCAGCTTTGTTGTGGCTTTTCTTGCTAGGGAATTGCCCAGTACTTTTAATGAAGCCAAGTTCATCACTTTCAGCATGTTGGTGTTTTGCAGTGTGTGGGTCTCTTTTGTGCCAACTTACCTGAGCAGAAAGGGAAAATATATGGTGGCTGTGGAGATATTCTCCATCTTAGCCTCTAGTGCTGGATTATTGGGCTGTATCTTTTTTCCTAAATGTTATATTATTGTCATGAAGCCTGAGCTGAACAACAAGAAGTACCTCACAAAGAGAAATAAGTAGAAGTTAGTAGCTTGGGTCATATATTTCTTCTGATATATTGATGTGAGTTCCTCTTTACTGGTTAGGAATTCTGTTCTGGTTTTTCTCCTGATGATCCAGGGCTGTCTCCACCTGACTTGAGCAGGGGTCCATTGGACACATAACAGAACTCCAGAGATATATGCAAGATTCCCTCAATTTATCTTTTGCAATCATTTTATTTATTTATTTTAAAAAACTGAATTTCTAAAACACCCGCTTAACACTTGAAATGGCAGGTAAAGGTAAAGGGACCCCTGGCCATTAGGTCCAGTCGTTACCGACTCTGGGGTTGAGGCGCTCATCTCGCTTTATTGGCCGAGGGAGCCAGAGTACAGCTTCCGGGTCATGTGGTCAGCATGACTAAGCTGCTTCTGGCGAACCAGACCAGTGCACGGAAACGCCGTTTACCTTCCCACTGGAGCAGTACCTATTTATCTACTTGTACTTTGATGTGCTTTCCAACTGCCAGGTTGGCATTAGCAGGGACCGAGCAATGGGAGCTCACCCTGTCGTGGGGATTGAATCCACCGATCTTCTGATTGGCAAGTCCTAGGCTCTGTGGTTTAACCCACCGTGCCACCCGCATCCCAGGTAGAATGAAACAAATATCTGAGGAATTTTTTGTGAGTTTGAATAAGCATAACTATTTATGGTTTTATTTGAGATTAGTTTCACTTTAAATTTAGGTTTCCACAAATGCCATGTGAATTGGATGTTATATGTCAAAATTACAGGCATGAGAAAAGCACCAGACTCTCCCAGTTGATGAATAGAAATGGAGAAAGGAAACTTTGTACCACCTGTCATAATCATCTGTGCGGGAAGAGGATATGAACAGATTTATAATGCTTGAATGCTTGGTATTGGCAGAGAAGATTATGATATTTCTAAAGGAACTGTATTAGATAAAATAATTCATACAGGTTAAGGCTCATGTTTAATGAAAAAGATCCCAAAGCCTTGGCTTAAAAAGAGACCTTCCCTACCAGCCTTGGAGAGTTGCTGTCACAGTAGATAGAACTGCCTGCATTGTATTCATCCAAGAAGTGCCAGCTTGGCCCCGTAACTGTGGGTGCCTGAGACCATGGGTGCCATGCAACCTGCATGGCCCTGGTACTGAAATTTGTCGGTGCCCGGCCCCTTCATGGGGAATTTTGTGGGTACCTGGGCACCCAGGGCCCCAGGGAGTTGGCGCTTATGAGATCTAAACCATTACCAGTAACACCTTGAAACATGGGATGCCAACAAGGCGAACATAATCATTAGAACAGTGTGGAATACAAACTAAAAATTGCTTGAACTTGGATTTTTCCACAGTTAACAATCATTCAGGGAAAGTGGTTGCTATAAATGGTGCAAGGATGTTTGCACTGCAGGCTACACGGGTATGTTTCCATGTACACGGGACCATCACATGCTTGATGATATATAATCCTTGGAATATAAAATGTGATTTATGAAATCCTCATAAAAATCCCTCATGCAATATCAAAATGACAGAGGAAGTTTCTTAATATATATGACAAGCAGCCAGAAGACTGCACAATTGTAAGCCTATGCATGGGAACAGAGAAAAGACATCATTTGTACATCCATTTCTACCCCAAGTCTTTCCACTTTCCACATTGGCCATACTGATTGGGGCTAAAGTGACTGGAGTCCAACAACTTTCAGAACATTCCTCATCCCTCCTCTATGGTTTACACCAGAGACCTAATTCTTCTGGGTGCATTTTCTTGCTCAGTATCACAGTAAGCCCAGGTGTTGCTCCTGAATTAATAAACAAAAAGATGTGTGATGACACTTACAGATACACTTTCTTCATCTGCTCTGTCCCTTGTGAGCAGAATGCTTTGGGGTATCTAATTTTGATCTCTGCAATTATGTAAAATTATGGTGATCTGCCTTCTAGCCAAAGATGGCTTGGCTTCTTTAGTGACCACTCTCACAATAAGCAGCCATGTCCCTGGCTTTTTCAGACTGTGGAGTGACAGATTGGACGAACTAGGCTGCTAGGGTTTTACAGGCCATAAAGTATCACTTTTGGCTAGCAGAACTGGAATACTCAGTGACCACTTGCTGTAAATTGATTGGACACTTATGAATTAGATCGGAGGAGTGTATTTTGCTGCACCCTGAGTGGTGCAATGCTGATTTTGTTGCTGTGGCTACTGGTTGTATGGTTGGTGTTTCTTCCCCAACTGATTGCAAGGCAACTCCCTTTACTTGCAGCATGACTGATCCCCGTTGGGAATTTTCCCCATTGAATATTCCCTGAAGTTTCCACATTGAACTCTTTGATCCTTGGTTTTTGAACGTTTCAGGAGTCAAACAGACTTCTGGAATGTATTACATTTTTAAAAAGAGGTTCCACTGTACAGTGGTACCTCGGGTTACATACGCTTCAGGTTATATACGCTTCAGGTTACAGACTCCACTAACCCAGAAATAATACCTCGGGTTAAGAACTTTGCTTCAGGATGAGAACAGAAATCGCGCAGCAGCGGCACGGTGGCAGCGGGAGGCATCATTAGCTAAAGTGGTGCTTCAGGTTAAGAACAGTTTTAGGTTAAGAACGGACCTCCGGAACAAATTAAGTACGTAACCAGAGGTACCACTGTATAATGTTAACAATATCACTGTGCCAGCAGTACCAGCAGTGCCAGAAGAAATTTCTGAATTTATATTAGAAGCCCCCCAGTGTAGAACACAGTAAACAAGCCTAGGTCTGTATTGCAATCTCTACCCTAATCATGTCCACCACTTCAATGGTAGGGATGAGGAACCTGTGGCCCTCCCAATATTATTGGATTACAACTCCCATCATCCTTCACAATTGACCACACTCTCTGGCGATAAAAGGAATAAGAGTCTAATACATCTGCAGAGCTACAAGTTTCCTCCCCCTGCTTTATAAATTAATACCCGGAACTAATGCTTCTGGATATAGTTTCTTTCACAGTGTCACACTAAGTTCAAGTGTTGCAGCTGACTCAGTGAATGAAAACTATGAGATCACAGGTAATAAATATGTTTTTTTCAGTTGTTCTGTTCTCTATGAGCAGAATGCCATGGGGACCTAATTGTGAACAATGCAATTATGTAAAAGTATGGCAAACCTCTTCCTTGCCAATGACGGCATATATTTTCAGTGACAACTCTCATAAAAATCAATCGTGTTGAAAACAAATATGAAAAGTGCCTGTGTTTTTCAGACTGCAGGGTGGCAGACTGGACAAGCAGTGCTGCTGGGAGTTTTATAGGATGCAAAGTGTCATCATTGACTAGTAGAATATAGAGACATTGTGACTGTGTGCTCTAAATCGGGGAACATTGTATGCTAAAGAAGTAGGTTGGAGCAGTGGATTTTGTTACAGAAGAAAAAGATTCACACTTACAGTTGTAATGCTGATCTTGTTGGTGTGCCTACTGATTGTATGGTTGGTGTTTCTTCCCCTAACTGATTCCAAGGCACCTCCCTTTACTTGCAACATGAGAGATCCCCTCCGGATCCCACATGAGTATTATCAGCAAGGTGACCTCATCATTGGCAGTATATTTTCACAATTCTTCTCCTTTTTTGACACTATATCCTTCAAGCAACACCCCAATTTAAGGTTTATTGAAGATGTTGTGTAAGGAAATTATCATTTTACTCCCAAAAATGTTCACGTTCACATTATAATAATCACATAGGTAGATAACAGGAAGACTGTGAATATCCAGGTTTGGTCGTACTCAGATAAGAATCACTGGAATCAATGCATTTGAGATACTTTAATTCCAGTGGGTCTACTGTGAGTATAAGCAGTTGTTTAGGAGTCTACCAATTTCTTTGCCATTCACATTTCTCTATGGATTTCTAAATATCCACCTGGCCTTCTTAACAGCTATACTACTTAACAGCTATATGTCATATACTCTTCTCTCTTTTTTTGTTTCTTCCATGTATATTTCAAAAATATATGGAATGGCATAACTTAACTTTTATTTTTTTCATTTCTGGAAATTTTGTTGTCTTTTATACAATCTGATTTTTAATATGAACATGGGGGCAGAAATGATTGAAGGATACTTTGACACAATTCAATCTTCACAAAAGGTTGGCAAGTTCTGTCTTGTGGAGGATTGGATTAAATGACCCTCTCAGTCTCTTCTGCCTCTACAATTCTATGAGTCTAATTGTACTTCCTTTCACGTCAGACAAACAAAGAATTTTGCAATATTTAAGCATAATGAAAAGCAATTAAAAACACCCTAAATATTTTTGTTTAAATTCTTCATGTTTTTAAAACTTTAATTCTAATGAGGTATCTTTTACTGATGTGCATGCTAAATATCAGGTGCCCGTGTAAGGACAATGTAGACTTGACCCGCAGATAATGAGTTCTAGAATGTGGTTTTTATTGTTTTCAGAATCATCCATAAATAGCAGGGTGATTCACAACATATACATATGATATTTATGTGATAGGATGCAATGTGCCATATGCTTTCATTACAGTGTAGTGACAAAATATTACCAGCATGTCCTAGCCTTGGTGTTTGCAGTGAAGGAGATTAATGAGGATCCCAAGATCTTACCAAATGTTACATTAGGATTTAATATCTATGACAGCTACTTCAATAAAAAGATGACCTACCAAACTACCATGAACCTTGTTTTTAAAGTGAAGGAAATGATACCAAACTACAAGTGTGATATAAAGAAGAATCTGATAGCTGTCATTGGGGGACTTGACTCTGAAACCTCCCTTTGCATGGCTACCATCTTAAGCACCTATAAGATTCCTCAGGTATGTATGTGAGGAATAGAGAAGCTTGTGAGGGAAAATGGAGTGCCGGGGGTGGGATGACTCATGGTGGTATATCTTGCCTAATGATACTTGGAACGTACAAGTAAAATACACATAAGGTGGTAGACATTTTTGTCTACCTGGGTTCCATCATAACCAGTAACCTCTTAATCAATGATGATCTGAACAATCATATTGAAAGAGGACTGCTTGAAGATGAGCTACTGTAGAGTATCATGTCCAATGTTTTACCTAGAAGCACTTTCAGGGTCCCCAGCATTGCAAGATGGAAAACCTTTAATAGCTGTAGTGAAGTAATGTGGATAAATGAGTTCCAAACCCTAAAAAATGAGAGAAACTGATGTGTGAGGGAAATTTTTATATTTCTACATTATACCCTGACAGAAAGCATATTAAATTTCTGATCTGTTTTCAGTAATAGATTTTTATGCTTTGCTTTGCTTTGCTTTGCTTTGCTTTGCTTTGCTTTGCTTTGCTTTGCTTTTTGCTTTGCTTTGCTTTGCTTTGCTTTGCTTTGCTTTGCTTTGCTTTGCTTTGCTTTGCTTTGCTTTGCTTTGCTTTGCTTTGCTTTGCTTTGCTTTGCTTGTAGGTCTCTTATTTCTTATTTGGTCCTTCTCAGAGTATGAAAACCCAGTTCCCTTTCAACTACCGTGTGGTTCCCAATGAAGAGTATCAGTACCATTTGATTACCCAATTACTTCTGCATTTCCAGTGGACATGGGTTGGGATTGTTACATCGGGCAATGATAAAGGAGAGAATTTTGTGCAGACCTTGGTTCCAAAGCTTTCCCAGAATGGAATCTGTTTAGCTTTTACTGACAGAATGCCATCCCTTACAGACTTTTCTGAATTACTTAATGAGGACCGTACAAGAAGGGATATGGCATTCTTTCTTAAAAACCAAAAAGCAAAAGCAGTAATTGTATTTGCAGAAACTTTATCTATACTTCATTTGATATTCTTGCTGTATCAAATACAAACAGCAAATATGGTAGAGACTCTAGGAAGAGTATGGATCTTGACAGCTGAATGGGACTTTCCAGCAGTACAGTTGTACAGAAACTGGAGTATAGAAGTCTTTCAGGGAGCCTTGTCTTTTGCTGTTCATACCAATCAGATAGAGGAATTTCAACATTTCCTTCAGTCTTTAAATCCTTACTCACTCCGTGGAGACAGTTTTATCAAGGACTTCTGGGAGCAGGCCTTTGACTGCTTACTTTCAGATTCCCAGGAGTTTGTAGAGAGCAATGGAACTTGCACAGGTCAGGAAAAGCTGGAGAGCCTTCCAGGACCATTTTTTGAAATGAGCATGACTCCCCAAAGCTACAGTATATACAACGCTGCCTACGTGTTAGCCCATGCTTTACATGCAATGTATGCATTGAATCTGAAGCACAAAGCAGTGGCAGCACTTCCAAACTCACAACCATGGCAGGTAATTTTTAATTAAGCAAAGCATTTTGACAGTGATGAGAAAATGTGTAATACATGGCTGGCCTGAAGCAACCAACTCTGGTGGTTGAATCCTATGGGGCAGCAGCCCTGCGGGCACCACCCCACTGTTACCACTGTTGCAAGACCCCAGTAAGTGAGGCTTTGGTGGACGATGTGGTCGGGCGCCACAAGCTCATTTTGCCTCAGATGGCAAAATGAGATGGGCTGACCTTGGGTAATTATTAATTAACCAAAGCATTTCGACAATCAGGAGAAGTTGGGTAATATCAGGGCCTGCCAGCCCATAAAGCGGACTTAAGCAGCTCCCTTAGGTGGTGAAATCTGATGGGGCAGTGACTCCAGTAAGCTAGGCTTTGATGGTGGTGGTGGTGGAGCAGCACATTCTCATTTTGTACATTTCAGGAAATAGCATAGGATGGTCCTGCACCATTATCCTCACCACCACCACCAGAATATATTTCTTATATCCCACCCTTCTGACTGGGTTACCCCAGCAGCTCTGGGCATCTTCCAACAAGAATAATGAGGGGGCGGCACATCAGCCATAATAAGCTTATTGAAATAGGGCTTCCTTCAGACGTCTACATCAACTTATGTGGTTTTAAAACTCTTTGACATCTGAAAGGAGGGTGTTCCACAAGGTGGGTGTGACTACCGAAAAGTCATTCTGTCTTGTTTGGATTTGATATCCCGCTTTATTGTTCCTTGTAATTTCACTTCTGGTAATGAGGGAACTACCAGAAGGCCTTCGGAGGTGGACCTTGGTGGCTGGGTGAACAATGAGAGTGGAGAAACTCCTTCAGGTATACAGGGCAAAAGCTGTTTAGGATTTTAAAGGTCAAAACAAACATTTTGAATGGTGCTTGAAAATGTACATTAAAATGTGGTTAAAGTTTAGAGGCGTCTAGCATGAAAATCCCTAGTCCTGATCATCAGTAATTTGGCAGGTTTACCAACTATTATACTTTCAAATGCCATCTTTTTATTTGTTAAAAGGAAATTCTATAGATTTTATAATTTCCCAGAAGTGAATGGAGGGAGGCAAAATGAAGCAGATGCCCCCATTTCCTGAGTCAAATTGAGAAGTCGCCAAATCAGCCACATTGCAAAGCACTGAGTCAGGGTCTGAAATGAAACTTCTCTTTTTGTCCTATTCTCTTTTTTTGCAATTCATCGTTATTGGTTCCTTTTGACAAAAGAACTGAATCTTCTCATTGGCATATACTTTTATTTGCAACTATTGCCTTTATATTGTTTTTAATTAGTTTTGTAGAGCCTGATGGATGGAAAGGTGGAATATAGTTATGATGAAAACAAACAAAGAAACAATGATGGATTAAAAAAACACCTTATTGTCTTTTCTCTATTTTTCTTAAATTGATTTTACTTTTTCAAATTTAGCTTCATCACTTCTTGAGGAGAATCTTTTTTAATAACAGCATTGGTGACCTAGTGTCTTTGAATGAGAAAGGTGAATTAGAAAGTGGATTTGATATTATAAACTGGGTTACTTTCCCAAATGGATCTTTCATGAAGGTGAAAGTAGGGAGGATGGATCCATGGGGAGGCAGACAGTTCACCATTAATGAGGATATCATCACATGGGACAAAGTGTTTAAGCAGGTAGGGCCTGAATTTTGGTTTCAGGTACAAAATATCAGTGAATATCCTAGTAGGTATCCTCAATGTATTTATTCAACTATTTATTTGCCAGTTTTATATCCAATCATTTAGGGCTTTAAGATGCTTTACAAATATATTTCAAAATAGTATATCTTACATACAGATGAAAAAATTCCAGTGTAGAATACATTGCCACCCTTACTCAAAGTACTTTTGGTATGAAATAGAGTATTATTTTGCAAAATATTATGTCATTTTTCTGAAATTATGTAGGACCTGGAATCAAGGCAGTTTGGGCCTGCCCATTCTAGGGACCATTCTTCCCATATGAGAAGATTCAGCTGCATTGAAATAGTTACGAATTGTCAAAGCTAGTAATAACTAAAGTGGAAATATATGGAATAGTTCATGTTTAATTTGTCCCTTGTCATATAATGCACTAGACTTTTGTGGGGCATCAATGGAGCTATCATACTGATTCTTTGTGCATTGTCCATTGTAGGAGTAGATATCTTGACCCAGAAAGGCTGAACTTGTTTTGCTTGCAAGCCATCCCCAGCCTCTGATGCCATTACTTTCCATGTGACTGATCCCATTGAAATCATTATACACAATAGCTGTGCACGAGCTAAAAGATAAATCTTGTACAGTGGAACCTTGGTTGTCGAATGCAGTTCATTCTGGAAGACTATTTGACTTCTGAAACATCTGGCAACCGAAGCGCAAAGGGCGAATGTCCATTTCAATGGAGAAAATAGAAAAACACACTGTAGAAGCCATTTTACTTCCAAAGCGAGTTTGAAAACGGAAGCAATTACCTCCAGGTTTTCTGCATCCGAAAACTGAGGTTCCACTATATTTTTGAGGTACAGCCTGTTATCCATGGTAGAGAGATATTGCTTCACTGAATAACATGTGGGAACGGGTGGTCGTCAAAAGAGGTCATTGATCCTCATCAAAGTGTTCAGTGGGGAAAATGTCATGGCCCAGTGAATCATTGATACAACTGGTTTTCTGTCTCCCTCATGGAGCTTCTTCTTGCTGGAATAAATCTCTCCTTGGAGAAGAGTCATAAAACAATATTGAGTCAATTAGATCAAAGTAGAGGGCAGTTTCCTATGCTTCCTTCATATGTTCCTCCTGCAAGGATATAATGGCAGTGGTAAAATCAAATGTAAAATATACCTGGGAGGGGGGGGGATGCAGCACATGCTTAAAAGGGCTGCAGTTATTGGCACTCTATTAGCAGAATAGAGAGTTCATGATCCAATTCAAGACACCTTTAATTTGGGCATGTGAAAATCTCATTCAGAACACCCTTATCGATGCACAACCTTAAATGTACTAGCCATTTCTTTGCTTGCATTTCTGAATAGATACCGCCTTCCTCTGTGTGTAATAACGTGTGTCATCCTGGGTTTGTGAGAAAAAAGAAGGAGGGGGAGCCATTCTGTTGCTACGATTGTGATGCATGTGCACAAGGGAAGATTTCTAACCCAAAAGGCAAGTATCAACCATGTTGTCATATGAGCATCATTTTCTCTTGACCTCCATGGCCCAGTTAAGTTTGTGTGGATTTGGATAATTGAGTTTGCAATGTTAAACTTTGTATATGCTTATTGAAATTTTATAGACCTAGCACCACATGCGCATGTGGAATGCCCTTTCTGCATGATTGTGAACATTGCTTTTCCAGAATTCCTTCTCATTCAGACATTTGCCTATGTGCTAGTTTCATTGAATTGATTTGTGATTGTGCCTTTTCATCCACAGCGATGGACAAATGTATAAAATGTCCAGAAGATCAGTATCCAAATGAAGAGCAAGATGGATGTCTCCCCAAGATCTTACACTTTCTTTCTTATGATGAAAAGTTGAGCATCACTTTAGCTTTCATGGCATTTTCATTTTCTGTGCTCACAGCTTTGATGCTATCAATATTCATTAAATACCAGAAAACTCCCATTGTCAAAGCCAACAATCGTGGCCTCACATTTACTCTGCTCCTCGCCCTCTTGCTTTGCTTCCTCTGCTCCTTGCTGTTCTTTGGAAAGCCTCATTCAGTGACCTGCCTTCTAAGGCAAACAGCTTTTGGCATCGTCTTCACTGTGGCTGTTTCTTCTGTGTTGGCAAAAACCATCACAGTGATTTTGGCATTCATGGCCACACGACCAGGATCCAGGATGAGGAACTGGGTGGGGAAAAGACTGGCAGCTTCTATTGTTTTCTCCTGCTCCCTCATTCAAGGATCTCTTTGTACTGTGTGGCTCCTTACTGCTCCTCCATTCCCACATTTGGACATGGACACTTTGGCTAAAGAAATTGTGGTTGAATGTAATGAAGGCTTTGTCCCTATGTTTTATTCTGTTCTTGGGTACCTTGGATTTCTGGCTCTTGTCAGCTTTGTTGTGGCTTTTCTTGCTAGGGACTTGCCCAGTACTTTTAATGAAGCCAAGTTCATCACTTTTAGCATGTTGGTGTTTTGCAGTGTGTGGGTCTCTTTTGTGCCAACTTACCTGAGCGCAAAGGGAAAATACATGGTGGCTGTGGAGATCTTCTCCATCTTAGCCTCTAGTGCTGGTTTATTGGGTTGTATATTTGCCCCAAAATGTTATATAATTTTATTGAGGCCTGAGCTGAACAGCAAGGAGCACTTAAAACGGAGAAAGAAGTAGGAGTTAGAATCCAGTGTTCTTTTTTTGAAATATGAGGTGCTTGGTGAACATAAGGTAGCCTAAGTCACTTGTCTTCATTTGTCAGGAAACTAAGTGGTTAGACATGGGCTTCATGCACAAAATTACTTCTTTATTATGCAAATTACACCCTTTCCACCAGTGCCCACAAAATGTCCCAAAGGAAGATAATGACTCCAAAGGCAGAGTATAGCACTGTTGGCAGAATGCAGCTGCTCTGATGTCAGATGTGATAACAACATGTTATAGCATAAAATTTATTGAGTGAAAGAGTGTGGGATTTTATTGTTTTAATTCTTACTATAATTCTTCAAATATTCTTATTATAGTTATCCAAGGAGGTCAAGGCAGCATACAGACTTGTTCCCCTCTCCATCTTATCATCACAACTACCCTTTGGGATAGTTCAGGCAGAGAGTGAGAGTAGCACAAGCTTCATGGCTGAGTGGGGAATGAAACTCTGATTTCCTATGTCCTAGTGCATCATTCTAGGCACTATGGCACATGGGTTAACAAAATAAGTGATAAAATTTCCCATAAATATTCATCACCCTGCATATAATTGTGTAGGCTGTTGCATTAGTTTGCATACTGTGGAGTTGACGTTGTGTGGTTGTTTCTTCCATTGTCAAATGTGTGATTGGTTATTTGTAAATTACAAATAAATAATATATTTTTAAATAAATAACAGAAAGGAAGGTAAATAGGATTTTAGGTGTCTGATTGATGAGAGGCCAAAATGTGTTTAGAATGCAGCAGGATTATTTCATATGCCCCCAGTGTATCTAAGATATATAAATACTCCTTTTAAAATAAATTTTATTTTCAGTTTTCCATTCAACAGCAATTATCTTCCTTTACATTTTTATCTCTCATTTTGACTCTCTTCTCCCATTCCTTCTCTGGTAATTATACTGCACCTCCCCCTTAACATCTTTATTATTATTATTCTATCTACTTCCCCCACCCCCCCAAAAAAAATCACATTACAACTGCTTGGTTTTATATCAATCTGCTAATGTATTTAATTAATTTTTTTAATAATTTAAATAACCCCCCTTTTTTTTACTAAAGAGTCTTTCTTCTTGATTTCTTACTCTTCTCATAAGTTTTGCCATTTCTGAGCACTCCTTTAATTCTGCAAGTCACTTGTTTGGGATGGTATCTTCCTTCCATCTCTGCACATAAAACATCCTGGCAGCTCCGGTTGCATACATAAAGTTTCTTCTGGTCTTTCAATATGTGCTGTCCAATAAATATTCAATCTGGATGAAGTATGCGTGGAAGAAGGAATTGAGGGGATTCTCATGAAATTTGCAGATTACAACTGGGAGGGATAACAAATAGACTCAAAGTTACAATCAGGATTCAAGATGATATTTACAGACTGGAAAAATGGGCCATAACTCACAAAATGAATTTCAATAGGGGCCAAAGTAAATCAGTACATTTAGAAAGGAACAATGAGATGCACAATACTAGACTGCATTAACAGAAGTATAGTGCCCTGATCAGGGGAAGTAACAGTATAACTCTATTTTGCCTTGGTCAAACCACACCTGGAGTACTATGTCCAGTTTTGAGTGCCACAATTTACGAAGGACATTGGAATGTGTGCTGAGGAGGGTGACCAAGAAGATTAAGGGTCTGAAAACCAAGCCTTGTGCGCTGTTCAAGAGTGGAGAAGAAAGCAATGTCATCCTTTTAAAGCAGAGTGAGAAAACAGTAACTAGCAAAGGACATATCATTCTTTCCTGCATAGGGCCATAACCGCCATTGTACTGGGGTTTGAGCATTTTGCAAAGCACCCTTGCAAGTAACTATGGAGCCCACAGAATGTCTCACAGAATCAGCGACTTACTTAGCAGGTTCCCTGGTCTGGTATGAGTATCAGAGCTGAACCTCAGGAGGTGATTGTTGAGGGGCTCCTATTGCACTACAAAAGGGAGGGAGGGAGGGAGGGAGGGAAGGAAGGAAGGAAGGAAGGAAGGAAGGAAGGAAGGAAGGAAGGAAGGAAAGAAAGAAAGAAAGAAAGAAAGAAAGAAAGAAAGAAAGAAAGAAAGAAAGAAAGAAAGCTCCTGGCATCACTCGGCTCCTAGCCTTACTCGGCTGCGGCTGCCTCCTCATACCTCACAGTTAAGACTTGTTTTGTGGGAGATTGCAGACAAATTCAATGAACACATATTCTTGACAGTTAGTAATTTTAGGGTAAAACAGCCAAAGAGCTGTATTACTAGAAAGGCAGGCTGAGACCATAGGAATGTAATCGATGCAGAGCACTGTGTGATGTCATTTCACCTGTTTTCAGTGGTGGGAAGAAATGAGAAATAAAAGCCCTTTTCCTTCCTGATGCGCTCTCTCGCTATCTCGTTCTCTCTCTCTCTCTCTCTCTCTCTCTCTCTCTCTCTTGTGCTGGTTATGCTGTAAATATAATTATTTTACCTGCATAGTTTTCCTGCTGCATTTACTGTGATCCAGCACAAGACTACTGAGTAAGTAAACACAATTTTAAAGCTTACCTTATAAATTGCTGCCCAATACTTTGTTATGTGGGGTAATGTAGAGGAAGTCAGAATATTACATAAGCTGAAGTTGCTCAAAAGGGAAGGCTTTGCAACCTACTTTTTCAAAGCTTCTATTTTTGCTGCCAAATGATGTTATTTTAAAACTGTTGGAGACTGGAGGGATAAACTGTTATTACCAGTAATACATCCTCTCCTTCCTACTAAAATTCATCTCATATGTTTCTGCCCTGGTAGTGGCTGGAGTCCCTGCCCCACCCCACCCACTCTCCCCATTACCCTTCTCGTCACATGCCGTTGGTGAAGCGCCATGTTGGCTACCATAGTGCTGGTGCAGGCAAATAGGTTGCAGATCCAGCTTCCAAGGAGCGTACCTCCCTCTCCTTCCCATCAGCTGGGAGGAATGGCATAGCTGCATGGCAAGTGTGAAGTGGCATGTCGGCCAGCTACTGGAGGCTGCCACCCTGAGGCCACCACCTCACCTTGCCTCATGGGCAGGCAAGTCCTGTTCTAAAGGAACAGAGAGAAGCAGCTCAATGGGAGATCAATCTGTGAACCGTAAATTATAAGGCTGGAAATATGAAGTCATAATGAAAGCCCTAATGTAATTCACATTGGCAGAAGAAATCTCTGAATTTATATTAGAAGCACCGCAATGTAGATCACAATAAACAAACCTTGGCCTGGAAGAAAAAAATAGAATTGTGATCTCTACCCTAATCATGCCCACCACCTCAATGGCAGGGATGAGGAACCTGTGGCCCTCCCAATATTACGGGACTACAACTCCCATCATCCTTCACCATTGACCACACTTTCTGGGGATAATAGGAATGAGGGTTCAATAATATCTGAAGAGCTACAAGTTTCTTATTCCTGCTTTATAATTTAATCCCCAGAACTAATGCTTCTGGATATAGTTTCTTTTACAATGTCACACTAAGTCCAAGTGTTGCAGCTGACTCAGTGAATGAAAAATTCGAGATCACAGCTAATAAATATGTTTTCTTCAGTTGTTCTGTTCCCTATGAGCAGAGTGCCTTGGGGACTTAATTGTGAACCCTGCAATTATCGAAAATCATGGCAATCCTCTTCCTTGCGAAAGATGCCATGTATTTTCAGTGACTACCCTCAAAAAAAGCAATCGTGAAGGAGAGTTACAAAACGTGCCCGTGTTTTTCAGACTGCAGGGTGGCAAACTGGACAAGCAGTGCTGCTGGGAGTTTTATCGGATGCAAAGAGTCACCATTGACTAGTAGAATGTAGAGACATTATGACTGTGTGTTTTAAATGGGGGGACATTGAATACTAAAGAATTAGGTTGGAGCAGTGGAATTTGTTACAGAAGAAAACGATTCACACCTACAGTTGTAATGCTGATCTTGTTGGTGTGCCTACTGATTGTATGGTTGGTGTTTCTTTCCCTAACTGATTGCAAGGCACTTCCCTTTACTTGCAACATGAGAGATCCCCTCCAAATCCCACATGAGTATAATCAGGAAGGTGACCTCATCATTGGCAGTATATTTTCACAATTCTTCTCCTTTTTTGACACTATATCCTTCAAGCAACACCCCAATTTAATGTTTATTGAAGATGTCATGTAAGGAAACTATCATTTTACTCAGAAAAATGTTCATGGTCACACTATAATAATCACATAGGTAGATAACAGAAAGACTGTGAATATCCAGGTTTGGTCATACTCAGATAAGATTCACTGGACTCAATGCATTTGAGATACTTTAATTCCAGTGGGTCTACTGTTAGTATAAGCAGTTATTTAGGAATCTACCAATTTCTCTGCTATTCAAATATCTCTATAGATTTCTAAATATCCACCTGACCTTCTTATCAGCTATACTCTGTTATATATCATATACTCGTCTCCCTTTTGTTTTGTTTTCTTCCAAATATATTTCAAGAATATATGGAATGGCACAAGATTATTTTTAGTTCTTTTCATTTCTGGAAATTTTGCTGTCTTTTATGAAATCAGTTTTTTATATGAACATAGAGGCATAATTGACAATTCTATTAATCTACCTGTGCTTCCTTTCACATCAGACAAACAAAGCACCTTGCAATATTCAAACATAATTAAAAGCAATGAAAAACACCCTAAATATTTTTTTTAATTCTTCATGTTTTTAAATCTTTGATTCTAAAGCGATATATTTTACTAATGTGCATGCTAGATATCAGGTGCCTCTATAAGGACAATGTAGACTTGACAAGCAGTTCATGAGATCTAGAATGTTGTTGTTGTTGTTGACAGAATCATCCATAAATAGCAGGGTGATTCACAACATATACATATAATATTAATGTGATATGATGCAATATGCCATATGCTTTCTTTACAGTGTAGTGACAAAATATTACCAGCATGTCCTAGCCTTGGTGTTTGCAGTGAAGGAGATTAATAAGGATCCCAAGATCTTACCAAATGTTACATTAGGATTTAATATCTATGACAGCTACTTCAATCAAAAGATGACCTACCAGACTACATTGAACCTTCTTTTTAAAGTGCAAGGAATGGTACCCAACTACAAGTGTGATACAAAGAAGAATCTGATAGCTGTCATTGGGGGACTTGACTCTGAAACCTCCCTTTGCATGGCTACCATCTTAAGCACCTATAAGATTCCTCAGGTATGTATGTGAGGCATGGAGAAGCTTCTGAGGGAAAATAGAGTGCCAGGGGTGGGACGACTCACGGTGGTATATCTTGCCTAATCATACTTGGAATATACAAGTACCACACACATAGGGTGGTAGACAATTTTGTCTACCTGGGTTCCACCATAACCAGTAACCTCTTAATCAATGCTGATCTGGACAAGCATATTGAAAGAGTGAGTAAGAATACCAGTCAATAAATGATTGTCCGGTGCTGCTACACACAAGGAGTCACAAATCCTGTATCTTTTTCATAGTGCTATACAGTGGTACCTCTAGTTACGAACTTAATTTGTTTCCAGAGGTCCCTTCTTAACCTGAAACCGTTCTTAACCTGAGGTACCACTTTAGCTAATAGGGCCTCCAGCTGCTTCCACACTGCCAGAGTGCAATTTCTGTTCTCATTCTGAGGTGTAGTTTGTAACCCGAGGTACTACTTCCAGGTTAGCGGAGTCTGTAACCCGAAGTGTTTGTAACCCAAGGGCTTTGTAACCTGAGGTACCACTGTATTGACTTAGCTCAGGAAAGATCTTCTCAGCATTGCGTGGACAGGAGGAGTCCCACCAACCCCAGGCGACCCCTGAGCAGAATAATGACTCAAGACAACGTGCTATGGGATTAAAATTGGCCACAACTTTATTTAAAGTATCAGATGTAGGGAGACCTTGGCTCAGGCATAGGGCATTTATCCTTCCAAGTCCCCAGCTGGAGATCTGGGAGACTTAAGGGTTATCCAGAATATGTGGAGATATGTGGGCTGGCTTTGGAGAACATATGTTCAAGCAGAGAGCACCCCCCCCCCCGTTTCACTGCCTTTGAAGGGGAAAGCAATGACAACCTCTCGGAATATGGCCAATGCCTCCCCTCAAGACCCCTTTTATGGGGAACCCTGGTATCACTGCCCCAAGGGGGGCGTGGGTCACTGCTTCACGCCCCCGCCACACCATTTTGGAAGATAGACTAAAGGTTCTTCTCAGCATTTCTGCTTTTCACATCCTAGAATCTAGACAGAGACATTTCTACCCTTAAGAAAAATCATTGATAACTGCTTGAAAGATGAGCTACTGTAGAGTTTCATGTCCAACCTTTGACCCAGAACCACTTTCAGGTCCCCAACATTACGAGATGGAAAATCTACTATTAATAGTCATAATGAAGGAATGTGGACAAAGCAGTTCCAAACCCTAAAAAAAAATGTGAAAAATTATTGTGGGAGGGAAAAATAATATTTCTCCAGAAAGCACCCTCTCAGAAAGCACACTACACTTCTAATTTGTTTTCAGCAATATATTTTTTATTTTATTTTATTGTAGGTCTCTTATTTCTTATTTGGTTCCTCTCAGAGTATGAAAACCCAGTTCCCTTTCATCTACCGTGTGGTTCCTAATGAAGAGAATCAGTACTATTTGATTATCCAATTACTTCTGCATTTCCAGTGGACATGGGTTGGCATCGTTACATCAGGCAATGATAAAGGAGAGAATTTTATGCAGACCTTGGTTCCAAAGCTTTCCCAGAATGGCATCTGTTCGGCTTTCACTGACAGAATGCCATCCCCGACAGACTTTTCTAAATTGCTTAATGAGTACCATACAAAAGGGGATATGGCCTGCTTTGTTAAAAACCACAAAGCAAAAGCAATTATTGTATTTGCAGAAACTTTATCTATGCTTCATTTGATATTATTGCTGTATCAAATACAAACTGTGAATAAGGTAGAGACATATTTAGGAAGAGTATGGATCTTGACAGCTGAATGGGACTTCCCAGCAGTACAGTTTAACAAAAAATGGAGTATAGAAGTCTTTCATGGAGCCCTGTCTGTTGCTGTTCACACCAATCAGATAGAGGAATTTCATCATTTCATTCAGCCTTTAAATCCTTACTCACTCAGTGGAGACAGTTTTATTAAGGACTTTTGGCAGCAGGCCTTTGACTGCTTACTTCTGAATTCCCAGGAGTCTGTAGAGAGCAATGGAACTTGCACCGGTCAGGAAAAGCTGGCGAGTCTCCCAGGACCATTTTTTGAAATGAGCATGACTCCCCAAAGCTACAGTATATACAATGCTGCCTACGTGTTAGCCTATGCTTTACATGCAATGTATGCATTGAATCTGAAGCACAAAGCAGTGGCAGCACTTCCAAACTCACAACCATGGCAGGTGATTATTCATTAACCAAAGCATTTTGACAATCATGAGAAGATGTTTAATACCAGGGCCTGCCTGCCTGCCCATAAAGCAGACTGAAGCAGCTCCCTCAGGTGTTGGAATCCGATGGGGCAGTGACTCCAGTAACTTAGGCTTTGGTGGTGGAGCAGCACATTCTCATTTTGTGCATTTGCTGAAATAATATAAGCTGGACCTGCAACGTCACCACCATCTTCATTACCACCACCATATTCATTTTGTTCATTTCAGGAAATAGGATAGGCTGGCCATGCACCATTATCACCACCACCACCATAATATATTTCTTACACCCCCGCAACTCTGGGCAGCTTCCAACAAAAATACTGAGGGGAGGGAACACACCAACCATTAATAGCTTACTGAAACAGAGCTTCCTTCAAATATCTACATCAACTGATATGGTTTTTTATACTCTTTGACATCTGACGAGAGGGCATTCTACAGGGTGGATGTGACTACCGAGAAGTCATTCTGTCTTGTTCCTTGTAATTTCACTTCTGGTAATGAGGGAACTATCAGAAGGCCTGTGGAGGTGGACCTCAGTGTCTGGGTGAACAATGAGGGTGGAGACGCTCCTTCATGTATACAGGGTAAAAGCTGTTTAGGACTTTGAAGGTCAAAACAAACATTTTGAAAGCTGCTTATAAATGTACATTAAAATGTGATTAAAGTTTAGAGGCATCTAGCATGAAAATCCCTAGTCCTGCTCATCCGTAATTTGGCAGGTTTACCAACTATTATACCTTCAAATGCCATCTTTTTATTTGTTAAAAGGAAATTCTATAGATTTTATGATTTCCCAGAAGTGAATGGAGGGAGGCAAAATGAAGCAGATGCCCCCATTTCCTGAGTCAAATTGAGAAGTCTCCAAATCAGCTACACTGCAAAGCACTGAGTCAGGGTCTGAAATGAAGTTTCTCCTTTTGTCTTATTCTCTCTTTTTTTTGCAATTAATCTTTATTTGTTGCTTTTGACAAAAGAACTGAATCTTCTCATTAGCATATACTCTTAATTGTAACTATTGCCTTTATATTGTTTTTAAATACTCTTTTAGAGCCTGATGGATGGAAAGGTGGAATATAGTTATCATCAAATCAAAGATAGAAACAATGATGGAGTAAAAAAACCTTATTGTCTTTTCTCTATTTTTCTTAAATTGATTTTGCTTTTTCAAATTTAGCTTCATCACTTCTTGAGGAGAATCTTTTTTAATAACAGCATTGGCGACCAGGTGTCTCTGAATGAGAAAGGTGAATTAGAAAGTGGATTTGATCTTATAAACTGGGTTACTTTCCCAAATCGATCTTTCATGAAGGTGAAAGTAGGGAGGATGGATCCATGGGGAGGCAGACAGTTCACCATTAATGAGGAAATCATCACATGGGACAAAGTGTTTAAGCAGGTAGGGCCTGAATTTTGGTTTCAGGTACAAAATATCAGTGAATATTCTAGTGGGTATCCTCAATGTATTTATTCATCTATTTATTTGCCAGATGTATATCCAATCATTTAGGGCTTTAAGATGCTTTACAAATATATTTCAAAATAGTATATCATACATAAAGATGCAAAATTTCCAGTGTAGAATACATTGCCACCCTCACTCAAAGTATTTTCATCCAATCAATTTTTAGCTACCTTTTAAAATTTAAAGTAGATCTCTGTGGAGTGTACATAGCACCAAAAGTCAACACTGAGCACAGCAAAAGTTGAGAACTATTGGTATGAAATAAAATATTATTCTGCAAAATATTATGTCGTTTTTCTGAAATTATGTAGGGCCTGGAATCAAGGAAGTTTGGGGCTGCCCGTTCTAGGGACCAATCTTCCCATATGAGAAGATTATTTGTGCCCAACTGTAAATGATGTTAATGGTTTGAATGCAATTAAGTTAAATATTTTTTAAAAATGTAATAGAGGTATTAGGTGTTCTGAATAACCATGCGGCATTGGACTGAGTGTAGAAAGAGAGTCTGTATCAGTTCAGAGCATCACTGTTTATTTGTTCTTTGCTGTTTTTGATTAATCTGCAGTGTTAAACAGCTCAAAGAACTGCATTAAAAATCTTGAGCAAATGCACTTATTCTTTAAAATAAAAAATATTTTCTTTAAGATAGTCATTTATAACTTTAATTAAAGATAAGAACTGCAGTGAAATAGTTATGAAGTGTCAATGCTAGAGATAACTAAAGTGGAAATATATGTTTCATGTTTAATTTGTCCCTTGTCATATAACACACTAGACTTTTGTGGGGCATCAATGGAGCCATCATAGTGATTCTTTGTGCATTGTAGGAGTAGATATCGTAACCCAGAAAGGCTGAACTTGTTTTGCTTCCAAGTGACCCCCAGCCTCTTATGCCAATACTTCCATGTGACTGATTGATGGAGATCAGTATATACAAGAACTATGTACCAGCTAAAATATTAATCGTGTATCTGTGTTTTGCAGATACAGCCTGTTCTCCATTAAAGAGAGATACTGAATCCCATGTGGGAACAGGTGGTGGTCAAAAGAGGTCACTGATCCCTATTAAAGTGTTGGGTGGGGAAATGTCATGGCCCAGTGAAAACCCTGTTATTCCCAGAATCATTGATACAGCTTGTTTTCTGAGTACGTCATGGAGCTTTGGGAAGACAGCCTCTTCTTGCTGGAATAAATCTCTCCCTGGAGAAGAGTCATAAAACAATATTGAGCCAATTGGATCAACGTAGAGGGCAGTTTCCTATGCTTCCTTCCTATGTTCCTCTGGCAAGGAGATAACAGTGATGGTAAAACCAAATGTAAAATATACCCATGGGGAGGGGATGCAGCATTTGTTTAAAAGGGTGGCAATTTTTGGCACCCTATGACCAGAATAGAGACTTCATGATCCAATTCAAGACACCTTTAATTTGGGCATGTGAAAATCTCATTCAGAACACTCCTATCGATGCACACCCTTAAATGTACTAGCCATTTCTTTGCTTGCATTTCTGAATAGATGCCACCTTCTTCTGTGTGTAATAACGTGTGTCATCCTGGGTTTGTGAGAAAAAAGAAGGAGGGGGAGCCATTCTGTTGCTACGATTGTGACGCATGTGCAGAAGGGAAGATTTCTAACCCAAAAGGCAAGTATCAACCATGTTGTCATATGAGCATGATTTCCTCTTCACCTCCATGGCTCAGTTAGGTTTGTGTGGACTTGGATAATTGAGTTTGCAATGTTAAACTTTGTATATGTTTATTGTAATTTTATAGGCCTAACACCATATGCGCATGTGGAATGCTCTTTCTGCATGATTGTGAAGATTGTGCTTCCAGAATTCCTTCTCATTCAGACATTTACCTATGTACTAGTTTCAGTGAATTGATTTGTGATTGTATGTTTTATCCCCAGAGATGGACAAATGTATAAACTGCCCAGAAGATCAGTATCCAAATGAAGAGCAAGATGGATGTCTCCCCAAGATGTTACACTTTCTGTCTTACGATGAAAAGTTGAGCATCACTTTAGCTTTCATGGCATTTTCATTTGCTGTGATCACAGCTTTGATGCTATCAATATTCATTAAATACCAGAAAACTCCCATTGTCAAAGCCAACAATAGTGGCCTCACATTTACTCTGCTCATCGCCCTCTTGCTTTGCTTCCTCTCCTCCTTGCTTTTCTTTGGAAGACCTCAGACAGTGACCTGCCTTCTAAGGCAAACAGCTTTTGGCATGATTTTCACCGTGGCTGTTTCTGCTGTGTTGGCAAAAACCATCACTGTGATTTTGGCATTCATGGCTACAAGGCCAGGATCCAGGATGAGGAACTGGGTGGGGAAAAGACTGGCAGCTTCTATTGTTTTCTCTTGTTCCCTCACTCAAGGAGCTCTTTGTACTGCGTGGCTCCTTACTGCTCCTCCGTTCCCATATTTGGACATGGACACTTTGGCTAAAGAAATTGTGGTTGAATGTAATGAAGGGTCTGTCCCTATGTTTTATTCTGTTCTTGGGTACCTTGGATTTCTGGCTCTTGTCAGCTTTGTTGTGGCTTTTCTTGCTAGGGACTTGCCCAGTACTTTTAATGAAGCCAAGTTCATCACTTTCAGCATGTTGGTGTTTTGCAGTGTGTGGGTGTCTTTTGTGCCAACTTACCTGAGCACAAAGGGAAAATATATGGTGGCTGTGGAGATCTTCTCCATCTTAGCCTCTAGTGCTGGATTATTGGGCTGTATCTTTTTTCCTAAATGTTATATTATTGTCATGAAGCCTGAGCTGAACAACAAGAAGTATCTCGCAAAGAGAAATAAGTAGAAGTTAGTAGCTTGGGTCATATATATCTTTTGTGATATTGATGTGACTTCCTCTTTACTGGTTTGGAATTCTGTGCTGGTTTTTCTCCTGATGATCCAGGGCTGTCTCCACCTGAGTTGAGCAGGGGTCCATTGGACACATAACAGAACTCCATAGATATATGCAATATTCCCTCAATATATCTTTTGCAATCATTTTATTTATCTATTTTAAAAAACTGAATTTCTAAAACACCTGCTTAACACTTGAAATGGCAGATAAAGGTAAAGGCACCCCTGACCATTAGGTCTAGTCGTGACCCACTCTGGGGTTGCAGTGCTTATCTCGCTTTATTGGCCGAGGGAGCCAGTGTACAGCTTCCGGGTCATGTGGCCCGCATGACTAAGCTGCTTCTGGCGAACCAGAGCAGCGTACGGAACTGCCGTTTACCTTTCCGCTGGAGCGGCACCTATTTATCTACTTGCCCTTTGGTGTGCTTTTGAATTACCAGGTTGGCAGGAGCAGGGACCGAGCAACGGGAGCTCACCCCGTCGCAGGGATTCGAACCGCCAACATTCTGATCAGCAAGTCCTAGGCTCTGTGGTTTAACCCACAGCGCTACCCGCGTCCCAGGTAGAATGAAACAAATATCTGAGGAATTTTTGTGAGTGTGAATAAGCATAACCGTTTATGGATTTATTTGAGATTAGTATCACTTTAAATTTAGGTTTCCACAAATGCCATGTAAATTGGATGTTATATAGCAAAGTTACAGGCCTGAGAAAAGCACCTGAGTCTCCCAGTTGATGAATAGAAATGGAGAAAGGAAACTTTCCACCACCCATCCCATGCCCTCATCTGTGCGGGAAGAGGATATGAACAGATTTATAATGCCTGAATGCTTGGTATTGGCAGAGAAGATTATGATATTTCTAAAGGAACTGTATTAGATAAAATAATTCATACAGGTTAAGGCTCATGTTTAATGAAAAAGATCCCAAAGCCTTGGCTTAAAAAGAGACCTTCCCTACCAGCCTTGGAGAGTTGCTGTCATAGTAGATAGAACTGCCTGCATTGTATTCATCCAAGAAGTGCCAGCTTGGCCCCGTAACTGTGGGTGCCTGAGACCATGGGTGCCATGCAACCTGCATGGCCCTGGTACTGAAATTTGTGGGTGCCCGGCCCCTTCATGGGGATTTTTGTGGGTACCTGGGCACCCAGGGCTCCAGGGAGTTGGCACTTATGAGATCTAAACCATTACCAGTAACACCTTGACACATGGGATGCCAACAAGGCGAACATAATCATTAGAACAGTGTGGAATACAAACTAAAAATTGCTTGAACTTGGATTTTTCCACAGTTAACAATCATTCAGGGAAAGTGGTTGCTATAAATGGTGCAAGGATGTTTGCACTGCAGGCCACACAGGTATGTTTCCATGTACACGGGACCATCACATGCTTGATGATATATAATCCTTGGAATATAAAATGTGATTTATGAAATCCTCATAAAAATCCCTCATGCAATATCAAAATGACAGAGGAAGTTTCTTAATATATATGACAAGCAGCCAGAAGACTGCACAATTGTAAGCCTATGCATGGGAACAGAGAAAAGGCATCATTCGTACATCCATTTCTACTCCAAGTCTTTCCACTTTCTCTAGGGCAATAACAGAAAACCTGTGGCCCTTCAGATATTCAGATACCTGTCTTCAGATACCTGTCTTCCCTTACTATTGGTCGCATAGGCCATACTGATTGGGGCTAAAGTGGCTGGAGTCCAACCACTTTCAGAGCATTCCTCATCCCTGCTCTATGGTTTACGCCAGAGACCTAATTCTTCTGGGAGCATTTTCTTGCTCAGTATCACAGTAAGCCCAGGTGTTGCTCCTGAATTAATAAACAAAAAGATGTGTGATGACACTTACAGATACACTTTCTTCATCTGCTCTGTCCCTTGTGAGCAGAATGCTTTGGGGTATCTAATTGTGATCTCTGCAATTATGTAAAATTATGGTGATCTGCCTTCTAGCCAAGGATGGCATGGCTTTTTTAGTGACCACTCTCACAATAAGCAGCCATGTCCCTGGCTTTTTCAGACTGTGGAGTGACAGATTGGACGAACTAGGCTGCTAGGGTTTTACAGGCCATAAAGTATCACTTTTGGCTAGCAGAACTGGAATACTCAGTGACCACTTGTTGTAAATTGATTGGACACTTATGAATTAGATCGGAGGAGTGGATTTTGCTGCAACCCTGAGTGGTGCAATGCTGATTTTGTTGCTGTGGCTACTGCTTGTATGGTTGGTGCTTCTTCCCCTAACTGATTGCAAGGCACTTCCCTTTATTTGCACCATAAGTGATCCCCTCCAGATCCCACATGAATATTATCAGTCAGGCGACCTCATCATTGGCAGCATCGTGTCTCAGTCTCTCCCCTTTTCTGACTTTGTGAACTTTGATCAACCTCCCAATGAAATGCTTTTTGAAGAACCCCTGTAAGGAATTTCTTGTTTCCTATAAAAGCATTTATAGACAGGCTATAATAATCCCATTCGCATTTATTTATTATTTATATTTTATTTATGCATTTTACATATCTTAGTATATGAGTTATGCAGTTGCCATTATTTATCTTACATTCTTTGACTTCTCTGCACATCCCTATGTGGGGTCTTATTTAGTTCTTGTTAAGCTGCATCTCCTTATTTAACCCCCTTCTTCTGCTTATATTACTGCTGCTCATATATCTAATCCCACTTGGAAGTTTATATGATTGTTATATTACTTTAAATATTTGTCAAAGTATTCCTACTCTTCTTTTATATCTGATTCATTCTGATTTCTTTTCTTTGCCGTTAACATTGCTAGCTCCGCGAATTCTCTTAGCTTATTCTGCCAGTCTATTTTTGCAGGACTATTTTTGTCCTTCCACCTTTGGGCATAAATGATTCCAGCCGCTGTTATTGCATACAGGAAAATGCTAAGTACTTTCTTGGGTATTTCCCCCTCTACTATACTCAATAAAAACACCTCTGGTTTCTTGGGAAATCAGACCCTTAACATCTTCTTTAGTTCTGAGTATATCATCATTCTTTGGCTTTCTTTACCCATGTGAGATATTCATGGGTAAAGTTCTTGTAATCCCTAAGTGTAAATAATGTTTGAAATGTCTCTTTGATATAGGAAAATATGCTTTTCCTGTATCCTTGCAATATATATCATTATACATACATACATACATGCATGCATGTATGTTTAAGAGACTAGTTAGTTCCTTTCTCAGTTTGCCATCCCCCTTTTATCAGCTCCACACACCAACAATTTCTCTGCCAGAACACATTTCTCCATGGTTTTCACAATATCCACTTGATTTTATCATCAGTTTGTCTGTCTCTGCTGTCATATACTCTCCTTTCTTTATTTTGTTCCAGATATAGGGTGATAGCCAGTGCTAGTCCTAATCAAATAGATTCAATGAAATTAATAGACATTTCTAATTTAGGGTTAGTCATCTAGTTTCATACAACCCATAATGATTTTGACAAATTAACAGTCCAAAAGTAATTTTACAGCATAAGCTAAATTTTCAGAGTGAATGGTATCCTTTCATAGATTATTAAAGGGGTTGATATAATAACAGTACCATTCATATATATGTTTCATTATTTATTTATTGTGTTAGTCACCTAAAAGAGGGCATTATCAATATGCAAACATGTTAAAAGAAAATGACTAAAACAATTAATTGTGTTTCTAAAGTATAAATGTACATCATTTCTTTTGAGGTGAAGGCAGAACTGACAATTCTGCCTTCTCAAAAGTTGGACAAACTTTGTGCTGCTTAATGCGGACAGAGCTTCAGAAAATGAACAGAATGCCTGCCTCTCTATGTTAATTTTTAAAAAAGATATGTCATGCGGAAAAACAGATGTCTCTGCAAGAACAGTGTGGACTTGTGGGTTCATGATAGCTCAGATATTCATGTTATATGGCCTATGTTCTGATTGCAGTGTAGTGATAAAAAACTACCAGCATGTCTTGGCTTTGGTGTTTGCAGTCAAAGAGATCAATGAGAATCCCAGGATCTTGCCAAATGTTACACTGGGATTCCACATCTATGACAGCTACTTCAATGAAAAGATAACTTACCAGACTACCCTAAATCTTCTCTTTCAAGTGAAAAGGATGGTCCCCAACTACAACTGTGACAAACAGAAGAATCTGATAGCTGCTATTGGGGGACTTGAGTCTGAAACCTCTCTTTACATGACCACCATCTTAAGCAACTATAAGATTCCTCAGGTGGGATATGTATGTGAAGCATGTGATATTTTGCAGATAGAGTATATAGAAAAGTGCTTAAGAAAAGAGGAGGTATATTGTTATGGCATAAGCTGCATAATTACAAACTACATCTTTGCTCTCAAGGCATAGTGTCACTCACCCCTGTGTTTGCTCAGCATTGTAAGATAGGGAGTCTGGTACTAATAGCACCAGAAAATGCAGAAAAACTAGCTCCAAATTCTAGTGAAAAAAATATGAGGAAATGGATGAAGAGAGGATGAAACATTATTCTCTCCTTTCAACCTTTCTGAAAGTTCACAATATTTGACTTGGTTTCAACAATACATTTCTTTTTGTAGCTCTCTTATTTCCTGTTTGGTCCTTCTCTGAGTGCTACAAACCAGTTCCCTTTCCTCTATCGGGTGGTCCCCAATGAAGAGAATCAGTACTTGGGAATTGTCAAACTACTTCTGCATTTCCAGTGGACTTGGGTTGGAATTTTCACATCAGATGATGACAAAGGCGAAAGTTTTGTACAGCTCTTGATACCCAAACTCTCCCAGAATGGCATCTGCTTGGGTTTCACTGATAGAACACCAGCCCTGACAGACTTTTCTCAATTAATGGATAGGTACCAAGTGGAAGCGGATAGGCTTTGCCTTGTTAACGACACTAAAGTGAAAACAATTATTGTGTTTTCAGAAACTATGTCTATATTGCGTTTGAT